GCTTTGCTTCCTCCTTTCCCATATGTATGCCTTTTGTTTCTTTCTCTTGCCTTATTGTTTTATATGGGATTTGCAGTGAAATCTTGAATGGAAGTGGTGAAAGTGGACAGTCTTGCCTTGTTCTTGATCTAGATCTTGATACATTATTTTTTTTTCTTTTTTTGTCCTTTTTGAGACCAGCAGCACCGCGCTCAGCCACTGAGCATACCGGCCATCCCTATATAGGATCCGAACCCGCAGCGGGAGCACTGCTGCGCTCCCAGTGCCGCACTCTCCCGAGTGCGCCACGAGCTCGGCCCTTGATACATTATTAAGTAGGAAATTTCCTGAAGGATTTCCCAGTGGCCTTTTATCAGTTTGGTAAATTTTCCTTCTATTTCTCTTTTGCTAGAAGGTTCTTAAAAATAAGCTATAAGGGCCAGCCCTTGGCTCATTTGGGAGCGTGTGGTGCTGATAACACCAACGCCACAGGTTAAGATCCCCTTACCAGTCATCTTTTAATAAAAAAAAATAATAAGCTATAGATGTTGAATTTTGTCAATGCTTTTTCTACATCTAGTGAGAGAATCACATGATTTTTTAAAAATTATGTGCTGACTTACATTGATTTATATTTGAAAGATAAACCAATCTTTCATTTCTGGGATAAACCATATTAATCATGATGTATTATTTATAAATTGCAGGATTTAATTAACTGATATGGATTTCATGAGAGACTTTGGTTTATATGTTTTTTCTTGAAGTCTCTATCCATTATTTATATCAGGTTTATGTTAGCTTCATAAAGTGAATTCAGAAGTGTTCCCTTCTCCTTTAAATGTCTAAAAGCATTTATGTAAGGTTATTACTATTTCTTTCTTAGGTGTTTGAATTAATCAATGAAGTCATCTGGACCTGAATATTCCTTTTGGGGAAGTTTTTTTTTTTTTTAAGTTAAAATTCCTTTTTAAAAAAAATATATAAGGCTATTTAGATTTTCCATTACTTCATGTGAGATTTTTCATAAGTTTTATTTTTTTGAGGTAACTAATATCCCCTTAATTGTTCTTTTAGTGTCTGGATAATCTGTGTTGATATCTGGACTTTCATTTCTGACTCTGATTTTTTATGCTCTTTTTTTCTTGATCACTCGATAGTAATATATCTCATGAATAAGAAGAATTTTTAGCTTTATGTTTATTGTTTCTCTGTTTTCTGTTTCACTTCTTTCTATACTCATATTTATTTTATTTTTCTTCCTAGTTTTTGTTCATTCACTTTTTTTTACTTTAAGATGAAATATGA